ATTCGAAAAGAAAAAGAAATTAGAAGAAAAAATAAACTCATTTTTGAATTAATAGAAAAAGAAATTTTAGAAAATCAAAAAAACGCTAGTTTTGAATATGAAAGCCCAAAGTTTAGCGAGTTAAGTTCAAAATTAAGAATTGATTCTGGTTACTATTGCTATGACTATAAACGAAAACAATTCCTGATTTCTAATTATAAAAATGGGGCAAGATTAATTGATGAATGGGGATTTAACATGAAAAGAGGGCAAAACTTACAAGAAAGCCAAATTGGAAAAAGTATTAATTCAACTAAGCCTAAAGTAAATTTTTACACAGTAATAAGACCAACCGACTTTTCGGAACTGGGGACAGTCAAAAAAATTGAGTATTTAGGAAATCCTAAAAAGTTAAAAACCCTAAAAAAAGGTGATATTGTATTTACAGCCACTGGAACAATTGGAAAATGTATTCTGTTTGATGATCCAAAAGAAAATTGAATTACAAACATTCAAGGGATAGTATTAAGAAAAAAAGTTATAATGTTAGAGAAAATTCTTTTATTTCTTGCTTTCTCAGATTTTTGAGATACTGGGATGTTCTACAATACATTTCAGTAGGGAGTCAGGGTGGTAGTTTGGCACAAAGGTATTGAAAAGACATTATGATTCCAAAATTTTCCGAATTAAAACAATCCGAAATTTCCTCACTTTATCACGATAATTCAATGGTCTATCCAGGTGATTTAAATTTGGAAAATTTTTTGGAAAAGGATCAAAAATGAAACGAAAAAGTTGGAATTATAGAACTTGACAAATCAATAAAATCAATTAAAGAGCACCTAAATAAAGTTTTAGATAAAATTGTTAATGACAAGGAAATAGAAATCAGTTTCAATTTCTAACTCTATGATTATAGTTCAATTTAAGCCATGAGGGCCAAAATGGTCTGATTAGCAAAGATATTAAATTTCTTTCTCTAAGTCGAAAGAAAAACACAAATTTTATCACACGATTTTACTTCTAAGATAATAGTTTAAATATACTTAATAACTATGGCAGGCCGCAAAAAGGTTGAAAATTGTCCCGAGCGGCTGAGACACTATTTATACAAAATTAACGAGATATTGAAAAAAAGAGCGATAAAATTAAAAAAGATGCTGAAGATTATTTAAAAGAAATGATATTAAATGAGATTTAACTAATCCTCAAGGCCGTGACGCACTGCGAGGCATTTTTGGCGGCGTTCAAAGAGAATCAATTCATCCTCGAGAATTACCAGTTGTTTTAACATCATTGGTGAGGACCAAAGTGGGTGAAAACTCTCGAAGAAATCGCCAATTCTCTTTCAAAAACGAGAAAAATAATTTTCATTTTTACTAGGGTGAATACTGAAACCGTAAACCAAATAACAAAAAACCCAGCGAGGAAAATGACGACAATAATGTTGGAAACAAAAAAACCCCAAATAATAGAGAAAGCAAGTGAAGTTTTGGAAAGATGAGCCAAAAAAATTTCTCGAAAAAAGCACAAGAGAAATAAAGAGGATGAGACCAAGAGTAGCAAAAGATACCAAAAAACTAAATTGAGATTAGCCAAAGTATCCGAAAACAATTTACTATCTGCTTCACTTAAATAAGGACTAGTCGTAGGAGCAACCATTTCAATCGTTCTCACTGGCGTTAGGCTTCTGATTTTCTAAAATTTCTTTTTCTATTAATTCAAAAATGAGTTTATTTTTTCTTCTAATTTCTTTTTCTTTTCGAAT